TTCCACGAGGTCATAAGGAACATGGTTCATTTACAGGGGGAGTTGCTATTTAATACAGAGACGTATGTACAAAGTGACTAAATCAGTATACCTCATAAGCAGGAAAGTAAACAGAATTCAATTTCTACCAGAACAATCTTTGTCACAGTCAACATCAATATCCGGACCTGGTGCGTGCAAACAACTGAACAGGTTAAACCAGACAGACAAATCCAAATTGCCTGTTGTTGTTTATTTTAAATCGGTTTTTTGTCCCCTCGACGAAAGAGCGATGTTATTCATGAATGAAAGCTTGCTTTTGTGTCCCGATTTACGCATATCTGTGTGGAACACCATGCACGTTGAAACACCAGATGTGTTTCCTATTGTGTTATGCACTTATGCCAAAGGTTTTTCAACCCCCAGATCAGGGCTGGATTATCACAGAAATCGTATTATTTGCTTTTGCTGTCTCTCACTGATGGTCAAGGTAACAATCTTTCTCGCCTAAATGGCAACGGCGGCAGAGCATATGCGCTTTACGAAATGTGGAAAATCAATTTACGGATTTGCACTTTGCCATAAGACAAAAGCGATTACAAAATAAAATAAAACAGGTCCTGACATAGATTTACCTAAGCTAAGCTTCCATTTATTTATTTAGTTCAAAAATTTTCTAACCGATCATCTTCCGTGGGTCTCTATTCTTGAGTGCTTCAAAAGGGCTATTAAACCACGATGCTTCGTTTCGATCAGGCTGTTGGTAAATTTTCTGTGATTCAGAATTGATTTCAAGATTTCGAGGAAAGTTATGTGACAAACTACCGAACACAGAGGAGCAAGATTTGCAACTTGAGTTTATTATGCCAAGTGAAACAAATCAGTGCAACAATTTACTGATTACTGATAGTCATGGATCTATCAAAATATTTGATGATTAGGATATCATCACACATTGCAACCGTACACTGATGCAATTGAAGTCAGTTTGATTTCCGCTGGGCGAGTGAACATGTCCAAATTAATTTTTTAGATGGAATTATATTGTATTGTAATTATAACTGCTGTAGGTGTGAAGCCTACATTCCAGGCAAAAGTGTGCACACTAGAGAAAGGGAGACACATACTTGAGTCCCAAATAAAATATTATTCCATTCAGACTTTTCAAAAGACTCTAGTTGTGTGAGCACTGCAAGGGTTTTTATTTTGAGTAGTTCATAATCAGATAGAAGATGGCAATGGAGCCACTTAAAAACGGAAAAAATGAAGTAAAACCAACCGGTTTTCAGGAAGAATCGGGCTATATTTGGGCCTTGAATATCAAATGTATCCATAAATCTTCTCAAATGTCACGAAGTTGGTTGGTCTGAACTGCTAAAACTAGGCACTTGCAAAAGGCCAACCATACGGTCGATCTGACTAACTTGTTCTCTATTACGAACCTTGCACAATTGGACGAAATCTCAACCTCGTTGTAAAAGCGATCATTCGAAGACTAACCCCCACACACAAACCAACGTCAGTAGACCTGGCACTGCCCTGTTGATTTAAAGAATGTATCCTTTCACCTCTACTCACTCCCATGCACATGTGCATTCAAACACCTCACTCACCTGTCATTCTGGCTATTATCGGATCCTTTACCTAAATTTGATCTAACTAATACGCTTTCCAATCGGTTGCATGTATTCAGCACCCTCAGTTACGTCACCAAATCAACCATGTAAACAATCCGTCCTTAATACATTGCTATGTGATCAAAAGACCGTGCGCTCTGTTAGCTTGTCCCTATTTTTGCATAAGAGAACTATATAGCTGCCAACAAAATGTCCGTGGGTAACACATGTCACAAGCCATTATCGACCTTTTTCTACAGCACCTATGGGAATCACTATTTCAAGAATGATGTCTAGTTAAAAATACCCATAGAATAATTTGGTGCTAAAAGATCACAGTGACCATTAAACATTATAAAATGATATTCTTTCAGTTTTTTCTTTTACAGTGATAACCATGGTCATCCATTTCCTTTCTTTTCACAAGGCGATTCAGCTTTTTAAGCGTGAATTTGAATGAGATATTTTGTCGTTCGCAGTAGGGAATTGTTTTTGATTTTGAAGTGAATAGTATAAAACGCCCTAAAATCAGTAATAGGGATAGAGCGCACATTTTAGTTTGCAATATAAAAGTCCATCTGTTGTGAAAAAGAACAGACTTAAAGCAGAATAACGCTACGAATCAAGAATCATAGATTTAATGATGTCGCCTTGGGTCGTTCGATTTTGTTCACCAAGTTTCATGGCCAAGTTATTGTTTGCAACTGACAAACAATTGTAGGCGAATCTCTTAATTTTCTTCATTTGATTTCGCAGTAACAAAAGTCAGGCGTTTTTCTCACGGATGAAGGATGCACACAGTGCTATTGTTTGATCTGTTACCGGCGCAGCGACTGTTCCAAGCGACTAGCAATGCGGAAACGCCTGACTGTCTTGGATTGAGGACAAATTACCAGGTGGTACTGTGAACTTAGCTACCTAGAGCGGGTGCGATTTCAGGTGATTCTCGTCCAGTGCTCAGTTTATTATGAACACCATACGAACATGTGCATGGGAATGTTTAGCCTGGTTCTTAAGAAGAACGTTCGTGTTGGAAAATAAATGTTTCTTTCTTGATGTTTTCGGTTCGATGGCGTCCACATGCAGTTAAGATGAAGGATTCACGGAGGATTCACCATTTGGAATTTTGTTCTTTGTTGCTAAAAGTGGTTTTAAGATGAAGACTGACCGCCCTTACATTGTTTTAAAAAGCTATGGTTAAATCATCGTCCCATATAACCGCTAGGTGATAAATGAAAAATAAATTATCATTGCTGGCAAACTCACCTGGTGGTACCATTTTCTTCCCCATCGACCGCATTCACGATCTGTGTCAGTGTCGTTCGAAAATTCCGAGGTCATCTCATCGGAACTGGTTAAACAGGACATGCAAGTCAGTGCCCCGGAATCGATTCCCGAATCGTCCATGTGACTGGCAACACAGGAAGCTTTGGCCAGTTGTTGATCGTTGAGTACCACGCCCAAGGACAAAGTCACGGTGACTTGTTCTTCGCCATCGGCCGGATTCGTACGTTCTACTCTTCCAACTGCCACTCTTGTGTCATCGGGTAGGACAAATTCACTGGCATATTGTCGAACAATTCGTTTGCCCAAAATACACACAGATGAGATTGTATCCGATGTGGATTCACGATAACAAAAATCATCTAGCAATTTTCGATCGAGTCGTTCGTGGCTTTCGTGAGCCAAACCACTATCAGAATCCTCGGAAAGGTTTGTTGAATCAATTAGAGAGTTAGTGGTGTTTGTCGCTGTAGCTGGCTGGTCTAGCATAGCCAAAAAACAGTTTTCGCAGTGATGCTCAAGTACAATAAACTATAGTACAATCTTGGACAGAGGTTCTAACGCATCACGTGTGCGTGTGATTGTATGAATCCGCGTGTAGGAGTGTTCCCTACCGCGGGCAAATTATGAAACGCCAATGGGACCATTGTCGACCGGTAAGGCCACGGTCGTTGGCAGGAACCAATCCGAGTGAGACAGCGAGCGGTCTTTTGATTGGTTGCCTTGTGCTCCCGGTCAATGTGATTGTGGGGCACGACTTAGGATGGGATAGAGTTGGAGAGCAGAGAATGTCATCCGTACGTGCGATTTGGATCAGAACGGACAGTGGCAATTGTTGGTGCTCGAGGGGTAAGCAGGAAGACTGATTAATTGGAAAAGCTATCTTATCGACCAGCTCATTGAATACGGGGAAAGATGTACCAAAATTAATAAGCACTGATGGAAAGAGGTGATTAAATGCACGTCATTCACCTTCAGTCAACACCACCGAGATTGTGCAGATAGATAAATCAAGTGATCTACTGGTTCACTTATTTTCAACGTGCTAAGAATGGTACTGAACATGCAACTGAGTGCTCCGGAGGTTAAAATTTTCAAGGAAGAATTACTTTGTACATTTTAAGGAGAACTCGGAAATAACAAAGAAACAAAAAGGGTTGAATAGATAGATATTAGCATATGGAAAGTAGTACTTCGTGGAGTGTGACACAATCCCATTGTTCATCCATGGATAACTACTTAGTTTGGTGACTGAAGATGTATTTATTTAAGCTAAAAGTGAGTTTTTATGCTCATCAAGCGCCTAATTACTTTGAAATTAAAATCAGTTGTATCCGTTGATTTTGAACACAATACAAAAAAGGTCCAGTAACCAAGCTCCGAATATGTAGTGAAAAGTGCATGGGTTTATATTTGTGATCCTGTGTAAGCAATTATTTTGCTCGTTATTTTCTCAACTAACATACAACGAATCAGAAAAATTCAATGTTTGAAGTTGAACACCACGAGTAAATTATAAGTGAGCAACTCTGTTTTCTGTAAACACTTTAAGTCATTGCAACTGACTTTTCACGGTTCAGATAATCTATAAAAATGTGTTGACATTTGAATCAACTATTGGAGAAAAATCATGCAACATATAACTCCCTCGGTCCGGAAATTGTGTCGATGTTCGCCCTCTTTCCCTGGTACAACGGATTGCGTATATTGATCTGCAATCAAACGGTAGAAGGTTACACAACCAACGGTAGCCAAAGCAAGACGGACAGAATTTAAAGTTTTGATCAAATGAGGAGTCTTGTGTTTTATAGAGCGATGGAAAAGTGGATAACAAAGCCCGGAAACATTCTAACTTTTTACAGTTTTACCAGCCGTGCAGAACTCTGGGCCCCCTCGGAAACATTTTTATAGAAGAGAGGTAAGCTCAAGAACTGGAGGGTAAAATATAAGCACTCACATCTGTCGGTTAACGGAGCGTTTGACTTAGCGATACCCAGGGGGCTTTCAACGATAAAGGTGAATAATATGGGTTTGTGTATGAGGCTATTTTTCAATAGAATTTGGAAATGGTGACTTGTTTATTCATCATTTGAAAAAAGGATCCAACGCATACTCCCGGCAGGACATTTTCTTCTTAGCTCCATCAGTCAGTAGGTAATTTCTATGAATCTCAAGGATGAACTGCCTATCTCTAAAGCCTCAGTGAATACATATCTTTGTCTGTTCGTTTTCGGAAAATTTAGATAGAAAGAACGAACAGTAAGTTTTTATAGAGGAACCAAGAATACAAAACAACTTGATGTACTGCTTGTTCGACGAAAACCATCTTCAGGGTGATCATGGACAAAATCAAGGATGTGGGTTATTAGATGGATAGATATACTTTTGATATGGTCTAATGGATGCGTCCTAATCTATCCAAATCTTTTGGTTAATGTCCCTTTGTAACAGCCAGAGTTGTGAGAAACAGCCTGATTAATCTTTCATTTAGTTCCCATATGAGATTTGTCAAGGTGATTTAAGTGCCGCGGCCCCGTTTTGAATTCAGTTTCATGATTGAGTTTTGTATTATAATATTAATGTGTTATAGATAACTTGTGCAGGCGACTGTGCCTACATTTCAGTAAAAAAATGTGTTCACCGTTACAATGGGATAAAAAATGGAATGAAAATTCATATGGAACAATGATAAAACTTAAACAGGCGTTCATCTTTGTAGGTTTAAAATTAGTTCGTTGCGGACTTTCACCGTGTCAATGAGAATATGAGCCAGATAGGGAACCGTTGAGTTGCGATAAGTGTTTATGCGAGATGGTAAGCAACAAAAATTGGATCGGGTTGTAGCAGATAAATCGGAACTGAGTGGATGACTGGGGTCATTGAGTATCTTATGAGCGAAATTCTCACATGAAGTGATATGCAAATTACACAATTTTGTGATCAGAGTGTTTAGAGAAATAAGAGAAACCCGGTTGATAATTACTAAATTACGACGCAGAGTAATGAAATCCTTTCTAAGTAGTCCAGGGAAAATAACGGGCGAACGATAAAATATGACAGGAAAAATGCCTTGATAAGTAAAGGGACATTCAGTCTTATGCCTCAATCCAAATTGTCGTAGCTTGCGCATTTGAAAAGATAAGCCACGAAGTCTACAAAAACACATGAGAGGACCACCGTAGATTGCTATCTATGGTGACTCCTAGGTATTTCGTTGTATGTGTTCTGGTGACGGATACGGAATTGATGAGTGAGGGTTCCAAGTGATATTCGGATCGGGAAAAACTTAAAATGCATTCAAAGCATTTAGAAGTATTCAACCGGAGGCCGGATTGATTCGAGAATGATTGCACTTGTAATACACTGTCGGAAAATGAGTCTGTCAGATTGGTTTGAAATGGCTTGACATGCAACTATTTCGTCGGCATGCTTAAAGGTCTTGGCCTGTGGGATGAGTCACTGATGAAAGTTTAAAATAAGTAGGTAGAAAGCACAGCCTCCTGAAGAACTCCAGAATTTTTGACCAACGGTTTTGGAATAGTGCCGTTTGCTTTTATTCTTTGAATCCGCCCTGTGAAATAATCTTTCAACCATGATAATAATTTGGTGGGGACGACCATTCGCACGACCCCGTGGCCATGGTTACCATAGGCACTATTAAAAACCTCATTGGTCTAAACTCTATTCCATTACACTGCGAACCTATTTTTGTTTTCAAATCATACAAATCTTACTCTGAACAAAACTCAAAATCCCACATACTAAAAACACCATGCAAATGTGATGTTCATTCCCAATGTTCCTATAATTGTTTTAACCAGATGGTAAAGTTATCGAGGACGAGCTCGCAAGTTTTTCTGAAACGAAAATCTCCCGTTGCGGTGCAGCTTTTGTACTCAGTTGCAGCAGGGCCCTGGTGAAAAGTTAGGCACCTGGGAATCCTGCATTTTTTAGTGAGATCCACTATTCTTAGAGAAAGTGACCGATGAGTGTTACATCAGATAACGTTGACGTGTGATCTGGATTAACCATGTCGATACCGATCGGACTAATTGCCGCTCGTACCCGGGTTCGAACCCTAATTGGATTCGGTGAATGTGCGCTATTGATGATTCCGAACAAGACTGATACAGCTGAACAGTGCGCCTTCAAGGCCATTCAGTGCTGGGTGACACGTTGTCTCGACTTGATAAAACGATATTCATTGAAAAACGAAGCCTCTATTCATTATGCATGATACAATTTAGTTCAATCAGATCACGAAATTAGTTGCGTACAGAACGAGGGAAATATGAATTAAGAGCTTAGGAGTACTGTACATTCGTTTCAGTCTTATCAGCAGGGCAAATCTATCAATTTTGGAGTCTGGGATGCAAAATACAAGTATGTTATTCATCTATTCTCTGGTTATATGATTTGTCTTTATATACACACAATAGCTTAGCCTATCTTGACAAGCTTGTTATGAGTGTCCAACCGGTGGTTTACAGAGAAAACAGTATTTTGAGGTCCGTGGCTTGCACTGAGCTACGGTTTATGTGAACGTATGAAGAACAACTTAAGTGTCAAGAGCAGCTCAACACTGTATGGGTTTCGTTTAACCACCAACTGTTCTGACAGTGCTGAGGCACGTCGATCCAACACCGTCATCTAAAATGCATCGATTTACCTTGGTGGGACAACCGGACAAGCCATGTCGAGGTTTAGTGCACTGTGGTAGACACTTGCAGTCTTGCAAAAATGCAAGTATTTAATCGAACAACGGCAATGCATATTTTACGTATGCCCCTGAATAAGGTTCCTCCTGTGTACACCGTGCATCAAAGTACGCAATAATTGGGGGCAGTACTAGTCGTGATCAAACAAAGATTTGACACAAGGATAGTAAAACACTGTCCAGGGAACTGACCCACATAAGTTGCATTAGTTTTTCTTGGTTGTGAACGAGTGATTGATCTAATCAATTGAAAGATATACTGGATAATGCAGTTGAGTGTCGTAACGAGTGGCCCTATGGCATTCACTCACTTTCTAGGCAGATGCACTTAGCTTATTCTTATGTTGATGGTGGTGGTGCAGTGGTTTAGACGCTGTCACAGGCCTTCTTAGGACCCTGTGGTCAGAGGTTCAAACCCCGCAACCACCACCCAACTTTGGTGGTAGACAGATTTACTGCCGTCCGGTTCAGTACCACACCTAACTTATCGGGGCCTTATGTGGTTCATCATTCCAAGTCCCGGGGCGTAGGTTACCGGTTTCCATCACTGAAAGGCAGGTCCTCATGACTATGGAGATCTCCCCGTCTGTTGTTCATCACACGGAAATTCTTATTAGTTATAATGTTGATATTGCTCTCAATTAGTTAACTATTGAAACAGAACAACAGAGTGGCCAACAAGCTAGTTTTCAGTGATTCGTATTCATGCCAGTACATCAAAATATATACATAATTACTTGGGAATAAAATTGTCTTGGGAAAATAAAATAAA